CCCGTGGCTTCTCAGAGGTGGTGACCCTGCTCCCTCTAGGCCGAGGGCCACTGTGAACTCCCCTCCCCCCGGCCCCGGTGCTGCTGAGAGGTGGGGACCCGTCTCCCTCTAGGCCGAGGGCCACTGTGAACTCCCCTCCCCCCGGCCCCGGTGCTGCTGAGAGGTGGGGACCCGTCTCCCTCTGGGCCGAGGGCCCTAGGTGGCCATGTCCTGGTGATTGGGTTTGTCATTCTCCATTAATATGGGATCAGCCTCATCCAGTCCTTTTTAATGACTCATTCAAGCTCAGACAGCTAGACATCATTCGTACCTATGTCTCTTAGCCTGCCCTGAGCAACAGTCCTTCCCCCACCCCGGTAACAACACAGGGCAAACTGAAGCACACACAGGGTTCATAAAAATATGACAGAAAACTCCCACTTTGTCGTACTGGGGCCTTGTCGGAAGCTTGGGAGTGGAAACGTAGCTGCACAGGGAACCGGCAGGCTCTTAGCTCCCGCAGGAGCAAAGTCACCTTGCCCTTGTCTGAATCCCTCATGAGGGGCTGAGCTCAGATGTGCCTCCGCCGGCGTGGGCCGGGTCTGCTGACACGGTTTGTGACAAAGGAAGTGCTGCTCCGAGGCCGGATCCCTGAGCGAGCCCCCGGCTGGCTGAGCCCCCGGCTGGCTGAGCCCCCGGCTGGCTCTCTGGCGATCCAGCGTGCCCAGCCGAGCAGCAGCCCGCATGGTCTGGCAGCGTCTGCGCAGCACATCTGTGTCCCAGCTTGCACCGTGGCCCATTTGCACGAGACTTTCGTGCAGCAGGCCCGGTCCTGTGCGAGAGCTGCCTGGCAGCTGGGGATTGGGCCCACTTGCAGGGCAGCTCCTGCCTCGCAGCTGCTGTGACCTGGGTGAGCTTGGAGGTCTGTCCGGGGACGCGGTGCTGGGATTCGGCCCTGGCTTGGATCTTGCTGGAACTGGCTTTGACGTAGCACCCTGGGAGGGAGATCGGTGATGGGGCCAGGGACGGCTTTATGACCCACGGGGCCCGACTGGAATAGTCGGTGGCGGGGGGTCTGCTCCGGGTTTTCCGCGGCACTGAAGGACCCCCCGCTGCCGAAATGCCGCTGAAGACCCCCGGAGCGGGGCCCCCTTAGGCGCGGGGCCCGATTCCAGGGAATCGGGTGAATTGGCTTAAAGCCAGCCCTGGATGGAGCAACCCACCCCTGCTCACAGAGATACCAGCTCCCCATCCACACGGCATGGCCGCTCCCGCACTGGGCTGGTGTGGGGAGCTCGGGGAGCTCACCGGGCGGGTCCCCAGGCACTTGGGCAAGGAGCTAAGCTCCTCGGGCTGGAACAGCCAGAAGGGAAGAGCAGGCTACCAGCTGCTCCAGGCTTGGGGGGAGAGCTGCCCTCAGGCTGCTGGAGGGGGCAGGAATGGGGAATGGTGGGTGGGAGGGAGCAGGTGCCGGGTGGGCGATCACTCTGCCTGCACCCCAGGCACAGCCTCTGCCCATTGGCACCTGGCGTTTCCCTGGCCCGGCAGAACCAGAGCTACTGATCTCTGCGGCTGAGGAGACCGAGCCTGGCTCCCGCTTTGCTCCCTGTGCCTGCTCCTGGCCCGGGCCCGGGCAGCTGCCCGAGCTTTGGCCGGGAGTCCTGGGGCGGGAGGCCCGGCAGGTTGGGAGCCGCAGAGCTCTGGCAGGTTGGAGAGGCAGGAGAGGAGCGTGCTGGGGAAGGTCAGCCTGTGCCCAGTGCGCTGTTGTTGTGCTGGTTAATATTTCATCTGCTCGCTGAAGATGTGTTCCCAGAACCTCATCTCTCCAAATCCAAACCGACAGCTCCCCCCAGGGAAGAACAGGCTAATTTTAAACTCGCTCCCTCGCCCTGCCAGCCATATTCTGAGCATTCGCTTGAGGAACCCAGCCTCTCCTGCTAATGCAAGCAGACGTGTCCTCTAGCTCCCTGCTCACACGGCTCTGCCTCCCCGGGACCCCTCCTCTCAGACACGGCCCCCACTGCGGGACAGCGTGGGGCTGCACGGGGGATGCCCGGGGGGCAGGGACAACCTGGTGCCTCCTTGGGGGGCCTTGCTCCTGTGGCTGGACAGGAAACTGCCCTGGGAGCGTCCCAGCCGTTTCCAGTGTGCTGGGTGGAGCCGTCTGCGCTCAGGTCCCTTCCACCCCTGCGCCCCGTTAACAGGGCACCAGCTTCCCTGGGGAGCGGAGAGCAGCATCGGCCATATGGCCTGGTCTGTCCCCAGCAGGAGCCCAGCAGTGCTGCCAGTCGACGGGCATCAGAACCGTGTGGTACTGGGAAGTGTGTGGTGCCAGCCCCTGTCGCCCCATGGCACCCCGACCCCCGGCTGTGCCCCATGGCACCCCGACCCCCACGCTCTGCCTCATCCCCCATCTCCCCATGGCACCCCGACCCCCGGCTGTGCCCCATGGCACCCCGATCCCCACGCTCTGCCTCATCCCCCATCTCCCCATGGCACCCCGACCCCCAGGCTCTGCCCCATGGCACCCGACCCCCGGCTCTGCCCCACCTCCCCATGGCAACCGACCCCCACGCTCTGCCTCATCCCCCTCAGCCCCTGTTGCCCCATAGTACTTCGACCCCCGGCTCTGCCTCAGCCCCCATCCTCCCCATGGCACCTCGACCCCCGGCTCTGCCTCAGCCTCCATCCTCCCCATGGCACCTCAACCCCCAGGTGCTGCTGGAGCCGCACAGCCAGTGGTGTAGCTAGGAGTGGAAATGGAGTGGAAATGTCGGGGGGTGGGGGCCCTATGTATGGGGGATGGGCAGTGACCAAAGCGCTGCCCCGCGCTCTGTTCAGTACGATCGGGGGTTCGAATGCAGGGGGCAGGGCGGGAAGCAGAGAAGGGCTCTGAGTGCTGGGGTGGCCAGTGGAGGGGGCGAGCCCCCAGCCCCCCAGGCAGGCACAGGTTAAGCTGGGGCAGTGTGTGTGGGGGATGGGTGGCACCTGCACCGGGCCTGGCTGTTGCCAGAATTGCCCAGGGCCGGGAGAAGTTTGCATGGCTGGGCCGACCAGGCTGTGCCATCCCCTGCGGGCCGTGGCCTCCCAGAGCCGGGCCCAGAGCCTCCTGCTTTCAGCCTGGAGGGCCTGCTCCACAGCCATAGGTCAGGCCTTGCCATGGCTACACCCACAAGACACCTGCATAGCTACTGCCCCAGGTCCCCACACGCAGCCAAGGCACCCACCGACCACTGGGCCCCCCAGTCCATGCCCTGTCTCCATCTCCGTCTCCTCTCGTGGCCCCTCGCTCGTCTGTCCCTGACCTGCGCTGTCAGCTCCCACCCGTGCCAGTGCCTGCGGGCTCCTCGGCAGGGGCTCTGCCTCGCTCTATACTTGTCAGGCCCTGGCGCCCAGAGCGAGCCACGTCCCCGTGAACACATGCGTCCTGCAGGGGTGGGCCTGTGCCAGCCCCCGAGTCTCGTGCCTGTCCCGGAGCTGAGTGCGGCGTCCCTGCGGCAGCCCCGGGGCTGACTGCCCAGTGCCCAGGTGGGGCAGCCTGGCCCTGCCCCGGGGTAGCTGGGGCGTTCTGTCTCCTTGGCTGTGGGGCAGACGCCACCAGCAGGGGCCCCTCTGTGCCAGCTGCTAGGGGTGCCTGCCCCATGCCAGGGCCTTCCGGTGGGCGTTAGATGGGAAATGGGCAGGGTCATCCCCTCCCCTCCCAGGCACCCTAATGCTCGTCTCTTTCGCTCTCCACCCAGGTCTTCGGCCACGGCAAAGCCAACGGGGAGCCCACCTGGGCGCTGCTCCTCACCGCCTGCATCTGCGAGATCGGGATCCTCATCGCCTCCCTGGACGAGGTCGCCCCCATCCTCTCCATGTAGGCAGCGCGCTCTGGCTGCGCCCCCCGCCCCCCCCGAGACTGGGCCAGCCAGGACACTCCCCCACTCAGGATGCGGCCCCCTGTCCTGCGGCCGGTGCCATCGGGATTAGCTGTGTGATGTCTGTGCCTGCATGGCATGGCCTGGGCTTGCCCAGGCCCTGGCTGAAGGAGCGCTCCGCCCGGGGGTGCCAGGGAGATGTGCCCGCTCCGGCACTGGCGAGCGCGCCCCTCGCTGGCAGGAGAGGACAGTCCCACGTGGGATGCGGCCCCTGTCTCTTGGCCACCATTCTGCCAGCTGCCGTTTCCTCCAGAGAGCCTGGCAGCAGCTGGGATCCCCGAGGGCCCCCTGGGACAGCCAGTGCAGGGCATGGTACCTCCCTGCACCCATCCCTGGGGTTCCCGGGGCCAGGCCGCCACTGGCTCTGGGGTGAAAGGCTCAGGCACTGTCTCTGTTTCTCGCCTGCAGGTTTTTCCTGATGTGCTACATGTTTGTCAACTTGGCGTGCGCGGTGCAGACGCTGCTGAGGACACCCAACTGGCGGCCCCGGTTCCGATATTACCACTGGTGGGTGTTGGCCTGCAGGAGGATCCCGTCCCGGGGCCCTGCCCTTCCTGACAGGCGCTGCTGCCGCCCAGGGATGGGCCCTGCTGCTTCATGCAGGGGAGCGGGAGCATGAGTTCAGGATGCTGCTCCCACTGGGCCATGTGGAACAGGCCTGGCCCACTCGGAGCCTCAGTTTCCCCACGTGTGCAGTGGGGAGGTTGGTTCCCAGGGGCTGGATCACCTGAACAGTAGGGAAGGGCAGGCAGCTCCCGCGCTGATGGAGGCCAGGAGGCGCAATGCTAGCTGAGGCCGGTCTCACCTGGGCCTGGCTTGGGCAGGGCTAGCAGGACCTGCGCTTTGCCCAGGCAGCCAGACTCCCAGACGGAGCAGCGTCCCTTCCCCTAAGGTCCCTCCTGGCGGCCAGGGCCATGGAGTACCTCAGAGGCAGGTTGGGGCGGTGCCGGGGCAGGGCTCTGCGTGCTGGGAGGCTGGTGTCGTGGGGCTGGGCTAAGAGCTCCCTTCGCTCCCCAGGACACTCTCCTTCCTGGGCATGAGCCTCTGCCTGGCCCTGATGTTCATCTGCTCCTGGTACTACGCTCTCGTGGCCATGCTAATCGCCGGCCTCATCTACAAGTACATCGAATACAGGGGGTGAGTGTGGCACCCCGGACTCGGGGCATGCGGGACGGGGGAGCTGCTCCTGGGCTCAGGCATCCGCCACGACAGGGCTGAACGGAGCCCGCGGCAGGGCAGGGCAGGGCAGGAGTTCCCCAGAGCCCTGCCGGCAGCGTGGTCAACCCAGCGCCCGCTAAGCTCCGTCGTGCTGGGAAACAGCAGGCGCCTGGGCTGGAAAAGAGCCAAGCCCTGGGAGCCCTGAGCCCTGGTTGCTAGTCCCAGCTCTGCTCCCGGGCGCTCAGGGAGTCCCCAGACCCCTCCCCATAGGCCCACGGCAGGAGCTCTGACGCTGGCCCCAAGTGAAGTGAGAGATGGGGCGCAGCAGGGCAGGGCTTTGCCCAGCTCACAAGCCGCCACAGGCTCTGTCAGGCTGTTGGATTGTCTGAGCTTCAGTCAATCAGCAGCCACCCAGCTCCCAGCGGGTCCCCCCTCCTAGGGAGCCCCCCCGCTCTCTGCCTTTCCTGGTGCCCTCTGGCTCCCCCCTCTAAGCCCAGCTGCCTTGGCGAGAGCTGGTGGCACCCTGGGACAGGAAACTAGCGCTCTAGTGCTTAGGGCCTTCCACTGGCCCTTTGCAGCCTGCCCCAGGACCCCCCAGCTGCCCTCAGAGGGGAGCTGGCCCCCAGAGCGTGGGCTGGCCTCCAATCCTGCCCGGCGCTGAGTGCCCCTGTCCCTCCCCTGGCAGAGCGGAGAAGGAGTGGGGCGATGGCATCCGAGGACTGTCGCTCAGTGCGGCACGCTACGCTTTGCTTCGGCTGGAGGAGGGACCCCCGCACACCAAGAACTGGAGGTGAGTGCGGGGCGGCCGAGGGGCTGGAGCTGCCTCTAGCCAGTAACGGGGCGAAGAGCAGGGAGTGGGCGGTGGGCAGGACGGGCACTTAGGAAGCTCCAGAGGAGAGACCTGCCCAGGAGTTCACATCCTGGGGCATGGGCAGGGTCGGTGCGGCTTGGGACTGGTGGGGGAAGGGGGAGGGGTGCATGGGGCAGAGGGTTTGAGCTCCGGGGTGCAGACGGACGGGGGGCGCCCTGCCTCTAGGGGCCGTAAGGTTTGTGTGACCGGGGCGCATGGCAGGCACTGGATGGAGGCTCATTGATCCCCTGGGGCGGGTGTGGTACAGGGTGTGGGGGCTGAGCGTGGCCAGTGTTTAACCCCAGGGTGTTCCCTTCCCAGGCCTCAGCTGCTGGTTCTGGTCCGAGTGGATCAGGAGCAGAACGTGGTGCACCCGCAGCTCCTGTCTCTCACCTCCCAGCTCAAGGCCGGCAAGGGGCTGACGATCGTGGGCTCTGTGCTGGAAGGGACCTTCCTGGATAATCACCTGCAGGCCCAGCGGGCGGAGGAGGTGAGGGCAGCACCAGCAGTAAGACCCCCGCTGTGATGGGTTGGGTCACAGAAACCCCCTTGGGAGCTGCCACCTCATGTGCAAACCTACTCCTGCCCCTGCTTTCCTGCCCTGGCAGCTTGGGACTTCAGTGCCCTGCCTGGCTGTGCCAGACCCGCTAGCCCAGGTCTGAACCACGTTCCCTAACAGCTGCAGGCTTGACTGAAAGCAGCTAACAGAAGTGTGCTTGTCTTTAACACTCAGATGCCCAACTCCCAATGGGGTCCAAACCCAAATAAATCCGTTTTACTCTGTATAAAGCTTATGCAGGGTAAACTCATAAATTGTTCGCCCTCTATAACACTGATAGAGAGACATGCACAGCTGTTTGCCCACCCAGGTATTAATACATGCTCTGGGTTAATTAATAAGTAAAAAGTGATTTTATTAAATACAGCAAGTAGGATTTAATGGTTCCAAGTAGTAACAGACAGAACAAAGTAAGTCACCAAGCAAAATAAAATAAAACACGCAAAGCTATGTCTAATCAAACTGAATACAGATAATCTCACTCTCAGAGATGCTTCAGTAAGTTTTTTCCTCAGACTGGACCAGGAGCGCCGCCAGCTTTTCTGCTGCCCTAGGCAGCGGAAGGTCCCACCCCGAAATGCCACCTCCCACAGAGGCAGTGGAATGTCCCGCCGCCGAAATACCGCCATGGTCGCTGCCCCCCAAATTGTAGTGCCCTAGGCAACCGCCTAGGTCACCTAATGGGTTGCACCGGCCCTGGACTGGACACCTTCCAGGCCTGGGCACAATTCTTTCCCCTCGTACAGCTCTTGTTCCAGCTCAGGTGGTAGCTAGGGGATACTTCATGATGGCCCCTCCTCTTTGTTCTGTTCCACCCCTTTATATATCTTTTGCATAAGGCAG